AGAGAGAGACACGCAAACTTTAACGAGGTTCGAAGGTGGGGTAATCCTTCTACGTCCTCAAAATCCACTATGTAGTTGGTTGTTGAATAATGAACCAACAATTACACTTTTGTGAATTTCTGCACGGTATATCTTCGCAAGACCAATGTTGCTACTGCACTCGTGCTGGCTTTGTTGTTCCTTCGAAGGTCACGCTTCTTCAACAACTGCAACGTCCGAACAATAGGACTTGCAAGATCAACTTGTAAGAGAGTTGACCTACCCCCTTTTAATCAATAAGTTTGATCAAAAGTAGTATCCTTCAACGTGGTGTGGTACTTGAGGCAAGGGAACCTTCAAGTGTTTACACTATAGCTCTTTGGAAGGAGGAGAAGTTTGCTTCTGGATAAGGAGTTTAGAAATCTCTCTTTATCAAGCTTTTTGGGCTAATTGTGAATGAGATAGCTTTAGAGATTGCTTCGTTGTGTTGTTGTATCTCATCGTTGTTTCTCCAGTCTTCCAAGGATGCTATTTATAGCTGGATTGGGTAATCTATCCGTTAAATCATAATAGACTATCCGTTGCATTTGCTGGCTTCAATTTTGAATGAAGATTGTGATTTGAAGATTCTTCGTTTCAGTGGGTGTTTGGACATACCCAATTGTTTGAGAAGTGATTCCAATTTCCACAGAATCCGTCCTCTAGCTGTTTGTTCAAGAATTCTGGACTGTAGCACTTTACTATGTTTGTCTTCTAGTGCTTGTTTAGGAATTCTGGACATGCTCTTCAATTTTAGAGGTCCAGACTTTGTCTTCGAGTTATTTGTTCTTGAATCAGCATAATTATCTTCAATCTAGCCGTTGAAAATCAAGAGATTGATTTTTCCTTACCAACGGGTAGAATTTCTTCATTCAAGACTTAGATAATTTTCTAAGTCTTTTCTCACTTGTCCGCTTTCTGAGAATTCCGGTCTTCAGTGAGTCTTCCGATTTTTAGCTGACAAATCCGGAGGAGTCATTCTCAGACTTCCGGGTGAGAAAGAGATCCGCGCTAGTCTTCCGATTTGGATGACTTAGCCTTCAGCAGGTTGTAGCGAGACATCCGGTTCTTATGTAGTCTTCCAGATCAGAGGATTTTCATCTGCTTGAGAAATCCTTACTTGTCTCTGACATTTCCGATCAAGATATCCAATTTCCATTTCACTGAATTTGATTAAGTCTTCAGGCATCAAAACGCTTAAAGAAATATCACAGCTTTATTGGAAATCTCAAGAACTCGGTTTTGACAATATTTCTAAAAAGAAAAATTACATTGAATATTGGGGGAGACCTAAAGTCCCTATTACATTCTAAATACATCATCATCAAAATCTATAATATTTTTCCCAACAGACTTTAAGATTCTATCATTGCTGTTAGGTTGCACAAGGTTGTGATTTATAATTGAATGTCAAGTGTTGTCTATTCACTTTACAGCAAGGGTCAATAGACACTTCTCAATTTACACTATATATATTATCAAACAGCCAATACTATGAATCATGAACACTAGAATTATTTCCTAGCAGTGCATCAAGAAAATAAAGTTTATAAACATAGCAGGCTTTTAGTAAACATGCCACTAGGGAATCTATATTTTGATGAAACTTTAACGTTGGCGGTATTTCTTCTTTTCTGCTGAATGTTTATGGTCTGGTTTATTCTTTGATCAAAATAATAATAATACTCCGTAGTAAATATCATCACATTGGAGAAGGTGACATGTGAATATCATGTCTTTATTCATGAGACCGGCTTTAGACGCATGTAGTTTACACTTTCAGAAATCCTAGGGAGGGTTAGCTGCCAAAGACTTACTAATATAAACTAAAGGATGCCCTTTTGGCATTACTACTGCCCCCATTCTCTTACCACTGGCATCTATTTCAATAATGAATGACTTAGTGTAATCTGGCATGGCTATACTTGTGCAATCTGGCATGACTTTGTGTAAATCTGGCATGACTTAGTGTAAGTTCTTATAATAAATAGTCTTCCCAATGACTTAGTGTAATCTGGCATGACTTAGTGTAATCTATTTCAATAATGAATGACTTAGTGTAAAAGACCAAGAGGACCAAGAGTGGCAAGGAATCAATTCTGGTGTACCAAAACTGAAAAATGAAACCTCTGGACCAAAACTGGAAAATCTTCTTTGACACAGTTAAAATGCACCACCTAACTGCTTTAATTAATCACATTCGATATTACTAATTATGACCCTAGAGTGCACCAGCTAACTGATTGTGACCTCTTATGCACCAGCTAACTGATTTTGTTGTTATGACCCTACAATTTCTTTCCTAATTAGACCCTGCTTTGGATATTACTGTTTTCTAACTTGATAATTCAATCTTGTAGATGCAAACCTATCACTTTGACACTGTGGGACACTTTCGCATCAGTCCAAGGGTGCGAAATTTAGCAGGCACTGCAATCAGGCATTTATCCCACAGTATTTGCAAGGAGGATAGCATCAACATCTTTCAAAGGTAAATGCATAGCATTATTAACATTACACAATATACCCCATACTCACATACTATACACCTCTACACCTGAACTTAAACACAATCATTATACAAGGGCTATCATTAACAACACGATCCGATTCGTCAATCAAGCTGAACCCAGGCATATCACCTACATGAAGTTTGGATGAATGGTAAAGCATCCTTTCTTCTTTCAATCATTCATTCCTTTTGAACAAATATTGCATTTATTAATTAAGTGTCTTACAGGAAGTCTTCAAATATAGCTGCCATAGAGCACGCCATTGAGACGAAAAAATGGCTTGACCCCTTATCTCTGTTTGCAAAGCCTGAAGATATTCAAAGAACACCAATCTCTGAAGTGGCACGTACAGAAAATGAGGTCAATGCCACAACAGCCTGCGTCTTATATAAGTTTCTTTTATATTGACATGCAATTAGTATTTTACATGGATATGAAAACAAAATGTCTAAACATACCATGGAAGTTAAAGCGTAACCCCATGATTTCCCCAAGAGACAAAGGATGTCAATCCGGATTAATACCCTCGTAAACAAGAAATTCTGGTGTACGACTTATTTTCATTGTACACTACTAGACTCGTACCCGTGCGATGCACGGGCTGTTAATTTACATATAATTAGTCAATGTTTGGAATAATGGAAAATGTTAAAAAATATGAAAGATTACATAATTTAATATAATTTCCCAAAAAGGGAATTCTATACAGTAATGACCAAAGTCGATATGAAGTGTTAAAAGTTTTTGAAAACACTTCTTTATAAACTACATTTGTGAAGAATGATACGTTGTTAATAATTATTGTTCTAAATTTAGGATTTCATAACAAAAAACTAACATTCGTTATAATCATTATAGGCATACAAACATGGAAGATACTCCCTCCGTCTCATTTTATATTGCCCATTTTGACTTTGGAGCATATTTAAGAAAGGGAAAAAATTATGTTGATTTGTCAAAAATGTCTTACTTTTTTATGGGAGTAGCGATGAATGAAAAGATAAGGAGGAAAGATGGACTTATTTTAGGGGTAGTTTAGTAATTTTACCTTTAAAAGTTTTTTATTATAAGAAATAGACAATTTATTTTGGTATGGACAAAAAATGAAAAAAAAAGCAATTTAAAATGGGACGAAGAGAATATGGTGTTTTACTTAAAAAGTAAACAATAAAAACAAATACGTTATCTATTTCTGGTAAGCATAGAAAATGATACATTGCTAATATTTATCTTTCTAAATTTGGAATTTCATAACAAAAAATTAACATTCGTCATAATCATTACAGGCATACAAATAGATAACATTCTAAAAATTCATCAAAAGAGCATGCCGAATACATTACATATAGAATACATTGTATATATTTTTAGAATGTTAATTTTTTGTTATGAAATTCTAAATTTAACTATAATTCTCAAATACATTGTTAATTATTGTTAATTCTCAAATACATTGTAGCTCATCAGTGGCGGATCCAGAAATTCAGGTAGATGGGGGCATAATTGGTCGGGGTAGCACCCCTAATTTTTTTATAAAAAAAGACAACTTGAAATGACAAAAAGAATAAATTTTATTTTAAACATTTATTGAATGTAAAATTTTATTTAATCGATAATGTAAAATTTTATTTTAAACAATAAATTGAATGTAATAAAATACACTTTACTTCAATAAAATTAAACAAAAAATTAAAAATTAGCTTATTTAAATAAGGTTCCATTCATTTTTGTAGAGAGTAAATAATTTGAGATGGGGTCAATCCCAATTTTAGATGGGGGCATGCAGCCCAAAGTATAATAATTTTTTGTTTTAAAAAAAATTATTAGTTTAACACCAAAATTTAGTTGGGGGCATTGGCCACCAATTGTTTCAGAGTAGATCCGCCCCAGTAGCTCATCGTTGCAATTAAATTATATTGACTGGGAGTATAGTTTACGTGCAATTTAATTATAGTTTGAGAGACTAAATCATGTTCATATAATTCATCCATCAAATTTTGTAAACTTTGACCTCAAAATAAATAAAATTGAAATTTTATAGTTTGTATAAATACAAAAATAGTTTAGTAGAGTAAACTTATCAAATATTGTCAAAATATTTTTTTCTCTAATTAATATATATATATATATATTTTTATTTAATCATAAGTAAGATATTGAAAATAGTTGATCGAAATGTCAAAACCGGAAAAAAATTCAGGACAAACACAGTAATAGTCCACAAAATTGGCCCATCCGTCTATCCATAACTATCTCCCGGCCCAAATAATAGTTTTCCCGGCCAAATATCTTTTGATATAAAACCTATATTCCATAACCTTCCGCCACTACCACAGTACCACTCTCTTTCTCGACCTTCGTCTCCATTTACCGTAACTGTCTCTCATGTATTTTACTCCTTGATTATTAAAAAAATTTGATTTCCATATAGGCCTATTATTTTCGTCGATGCATATATTTTCACATCGTTTTTTTGGTTGGTCGTGGTCACCGTTTTTATTTTCACTCTAAATCATTTTTTAAATTACTCCTTTCGTCACAATTTAAATCACAGTTTTTTATTTTCAATATTTTGTTCAAATTAATTTCAAATCATTTTAAATGAAAGAGATGTAGTATTAGAATTTTAAATATTGTCAAATATTGTCAAATTATTATTTAATTTAAATATTACTTAATATATAATTTTAATAATATATAATTTGTTAAATATTGTCAAATTATTATTTAATATAAATATTACATAGTATATAATTTTAATAAAAATAAGTAAGATATTAAATTATAGCCCACGGGCCTAATAGCAGGAAAAATTCGTCCGGCCCAATTGATATTTGCAGCCTAGTATATATTAATATATATCTACCTTTACCCTAATCCTACATCCTCATTTACGCCTCCATTACAACCTTCGTCTTCATCCCTATGGTCATCTTCTCTCGGGTCTTCTTCTCTCTATCGCCACCGTCTTCATCTCTCTGGTCATCTACTCTTTATGAATATATATTTATAATCAGTTTGGATTTAAGGAGATTAGTTATAAAAGTATTTTTATAATTTATATTTTTTTTCGAGACATATATTCACTAAGTATATACATCTATATTTGATAAGGAGACTTCATTTTTAATTTTCGTTTCAGATCTCGAATTAATTTTTTAATATTTTTTATCACAATTTTTTATTCAAAAAAATAACCCTTTTGATCCATGATTTTTAACACATATTATAAGATTGTTAGATCTTTTCATACTTCTTGCTATTTTATATATATATATATATATATATATATATATATATATATATATATATATATATATATATATATATATATAGGGGATGGTGTAACACCACAACCCACTTAACCCGAATAAATAGGTTAGTGAACCCAGTTGCTACTAAATGGGTATCCACATACAATATTTTCCAATAAATTAAAACATTTAATTTATAACTCGACAATCCAAAATCATTTAATAATTACATATCGGAGTTTATACAAACAATACAGAAGCCTTATAAATAAATCAAACATTAAATTCCTGCATCCGTACATCTCCTCCGTCATGCTGCCCTCCGGAATCAACCTTTCACAAGCACCTACGTGTAACAAAGGGAAAAAGGCGCTACACGCTCAGCAATGAAGCTGAGTGAGAAATATCTAACAGTTCGAACATAAACATAGGCGAATCCACTAATTCACAATTATCTCATGATATCATGCACGCAACATGCTTGGCAACAATCACACGACATACAAGATATAACATGCGTAATCAACATCATAACAGTTCATAAGATACAACAACATCGGTATATGCATTAGGAACTTTCCTTTTTAATTTACTTTACTTCCTCATCTTACTTGGCTCTTAACCTATACTAGGTTAAAGCTTAACTGAATTCAACTTGCCTATGGAGTCATGACCTTCCCCTTCGGAACGAAGGTCAAGCTCAAACCAACTCAGGAGTTCCTCGTTGGGTGGGTGAGATCCCTGTCCCCTTCGGAACGACAGTTCTTAGATCCCCGTGTACACGTTTTTACCCGAACAAACATTGGACCCAGCAGGTACCACATGGCTCTAACTAACTATACTTATGGCATACATTGCCACTATTCCATTCAGGTCATTTCCTAGAGTTCTTCTAGGTGATGTATCCAACATTCATTAATCAATACATAATACAACATCCATGAATCCACAATTCATTTAACAAGATATCCAACACAATCAAATAGCGGTCTAACACTGGGAATACACACCCATGTTTACCGTCATGCAACACACAAAGTCTCGGAATCAATCCTTGACGAAAACACAGATCGACAGACCCAGCACTAGGTACCAGACGGTACCCGTCACGGTACAGGGTACCGTCCATACGGTACTTGGGTACCGATCCTACGGTACCAGGGGTTCCGTCCGATCCATCTGGGCTCTTCCGGTAGGATTGTCACGGTAGCCGACTACCGACTAGGCGGTAGGGCCTACCGTCCGTCCGGTACCTAGGTACCGAGCGGTTACAGCTACCGGCAAAGGGAAATGGAACAACAGAGTGTGACGGTAGCACGGTACCGTCCTGGCGGTACCGCCTAACGTCTGACGCGACAAATCCATATTCATACCTGTTTCGTTTTCAGCATCGACCATCAGAAATCTCATAACGACAAACACCAATAGGTTCATATTAACATTCTAAACATTATCAAGCACATTAATTCATCAATTAATGCCTAAATCATGCATACTACCCTCTTGGTTTAACGACAACAATTCCCAAACCACAATCAACAATTATACAGATAAATCACACAAATCAACCACGATAACAATTATGAACGGAATTTCAAACCTAGATGCATATTCTAGTGTTAGATGTCCACGTACTCACCTCGATTCATTCCGATTCAATTTGAAAGAACGTCTTTCGAAATCCACTGTCTGAACAGATCTGCCCCGCTGCCCGAACAGGTACTGCTGTCCCAGTTACCAACACTGTGCGGACTGGCTGGAACAAGGAGGGAGATCGCTGGAGTTGTTGGAGTCCGTTCGCCGGACACCGTCGTAGATGGCTGGTCAATTCACTACTCGAGCTTATAGGGTCGCGCCTGGCTTCACTGCTGCTGCCTGGACCAAATTGTCACTGTCGCCAGTGTTGCAGGGTCGTTGCCTTCCTCGCCAATCGCCGCCGGTCTGCCACTGCACCGCGGTCGGCATCGCTGAATCAACGAAGGGGGAACTCCTGTTCGCCGTCAATTGGGTCGCTGCGCCACTGAGCCGAGGAAGCTGCCAGAAATCGAGAGAGGGAGAGAGAGAATCCTCTCGTGCTGGCGCGCTGGCGCTGATCGGAGAAGAAGGGACGGCGATGGGGGTCTGCGGTTGGCGGCCTTGAATCGGGAACGAAGAAGAATAAGGAGGCGGAGACCTTCTGTACGCGTGAAAAGTAAATATATATGTCTAGGGTTTTGTACTCCATAATTTAAAATAACGTGTCTGAGTAAAGACACACTTTTTGGGCCAACTTGCTCCGAATTGAGATCCGTTAGCGTCGTTGGATTCGATTCGTCAATCCTTACCCAACGGTATAACTTTTATGATCAGACGACAAACATTTATTAGTTCCACCTAGTCCGTCTTAATATTTCCAATTAATTAGTTACCGATCAGTCTTTTAATTTAAATCTTTACAATTATAATCAAATTAGTTTCATTATATGAGACGATTATAATCTCTAAAATATCTTTTTATTCTTTAAAAGAATAAATTGACATAAATAAATAATTATATTTATCTAATTATTGATAAACTACTAGACCGGTTTCTAGGGCGTTACAGATGGTTCCTGTGAGAAAGACTCTTGGTGAAAGAAATGAGAATGAATAAGAGTCATTGATATTGCAAATCTAAGGGCCTTAATTAGATCTAAAATCTGGCGTCATTGACTATTAAATATGGTAAAAATTATTCATGCCCGTAAGTTTAGGAATGAAACATGTGCAGAGGGGTATTTTTGTAAGTTTGACAATTGATACACACGTCACTATTAGTGGAGCCGTAAGAGCACTGGTAATACCCCTCACGCCCACCGGCGTTACGGGGCGTTTAACGCCCCGGGGGCGTGAAACACCGCCCCCCGCCGGCGTGAAACGGGCGTGAGGGCGCCTGCGTCATTCGTTTGACGCGGCGTGAGGGCCGTTTTTTCTTCCCAACGGCTATAGAGCCGTTAC